AAGACAAGCAGACCAGCCTGGAGCAGCAAAAACAGAAGATAATTCTTGAAAGACCAACAGAAAAAATACAAAACAATATAGGCAGACCGACTGCTTACTACAAGAACAAGCAAGTGGCTCACCCAGGAGACATCAATGCAAGTGGCCAGGTCCTCTCAGGGCAAACCTCCTTCTAAGACTAAGACTCAATGGGACTACATGGTCTGATTGGTGACCACATTCATCACCAATAAGGGGAAGTGAAGGAAAAACAATGAAGCTGTGAGCTAAGCCCTACAATGTTCAATAGACTCCTGTGAATAAGGGTGGAGACCTGGTTGACCAGCAGTGTGGCAAGACCTGGGGACTCTTGGGCCCAGAGTCACTGATATAGCCACAGAGGACTAGAGTGGAGAGTAAAGCATCCAGCTGATAAGAAGAGAGGGCATATGCATAAGAACACCCACATTTACAGATAATATCCACTTGACCTGGCTTCAATGAGTGGATAATCAGAGTGCAATTAGAAGAAAGAAAAGGAAAAAAGAGTAATCTGATACAATTTTATGAACTTAACCTACACCTATGGATGTAGTAGCTTTAAAGAGGGAACAAATCTTCACAGTGAGGATCATTCCCACCCTCTCCATACACAGAGTAGACAGGGATGGGAAACTTGGAAAGTGGCTACCCAAAATGGGGCTGGGGGGCAGCCTACAGAGGCAAGAAGTGACTGGATAACAAGCTTTCAAGAGAGAGCCTAGATCAAGAGGGTGTGGAGCAAGGTAGAATCTCCATTGAGTAGTATCCAATCTGTCTAGGCAGAGTTGATAAAAGGAGATGGGGATAGGTCTCTTGTGATACAATAGTAAATAATTGTTATCAGGACTGATTGTGAGGAAATGTAAAGGTAGACTTTTTATAGCAAAAGGAGGGGGTTGATTAACTTTTCAGCCTAGGAGTGGAGGTCCCTGCAACCATCAAGGGAGAAAAGCAGAGAGCGGAACCCTACCCAGAGAAGCAGTGATGCCAAAGATGGAGGCAGAGACGATGACGTGGAGAGAGGGAGCGGCTTGGGACTTTAGACCCAGAGAGGGAGAGGGGCTGTGTGCTGATGACCAGGGGGCTGATTTGCAGAGTATACCCTTTGGTTGGTTGATGATGCATAGAGGGGATTGTAACCATGGCAAGGAAACAATATAAAATAGGATGAATATAAAACTAATGGTCTCACATGTAAACTATCACATAATTCACAATAAAACATTTAAAAACAAAACATTATGCTCTTTAGAAATAATGTTAACTGATGGTACATGAAGGGAATTATAATCATTGTAATGAAACAAAGTATATGATTTGTTGGAAAAAAACAAGAAAAAACACTTTAGAGGACTTGAGAAAAATAAGGAAGAAGTCAGAAAAGTGCTAAGGGAACCATCAAATAAGATAGATACAGCATTGGAAACAATTCAAAGCCTACAAAAAAACAGGTCCAAACGATTAATAATAGAATACCAGAAATGGACAATACACTGAAAGGGCAAAGGAGTAGAATTGAAAAGATGGAAGCCAGAACTAGTGACCTGGAAGACAAATCTCTCAATACTACTAAGATAGAAGAGCAAGCAGAAAAAAGGATTAAAATATCTGAAGAAAGTCCAAGATTCGTGTTGGACAACATGAAGAGGAATAACAAGAATTATCGTCATTCCAGAACAGGAAGAAGCACACAAATCCACATAGGAGATAGTTGAAGAGCTTCTGGAAGAAAAATTCCATAACATCCTGTAAAATGCAAAAATAAGCATTCAAGAAGCCCAATCAGCCCAAGGAAGGATAGCCCCCAAAAGAAAATCACCAACGCATATCGTAATCAAGCTCTTCAAAATCAAAGGAGAAAATCCAGAAAGCAACTAGGAAAAGAGAAGTGTTACATACACAGGCAAGAAAATCAGATTAAGCCCAGATCTCTCAGGAGAAACCATGCAACCAAGACGGCAATGGGGAGACATATATAAAACCCTGAAAGAAACAAAAACAAAAAAAAACTGCCAACCAAGAATCCTTTACCAGCAAAGCTGTCAATCGAATACAATGGTGTAATCAAAACATTCCAGGATAAACAGAAGCTAAGGGATTTTGCCAAAGCCAATCTTGCACTGTAAAACATCCTAAGGGAGTTCTACGGACTGAGAACCAACAAGAACAGACAACAACCAGAGATTGACATACGTAGCAGCACCACCCAGAACTCAGTCAACAAATGGAAGAGTTGAGAACTGAACAAAACTTTAAGAATGAATTCAGAGGATCTGAGAGATCTGTCTATGATCAAAACAATTACAGTGTAAAAGAAGGTAAACACATAGGAACAGAGATCCAGGTGGTGAGGTGGTCAGGTAGATTACAGGATAAAATAGAGTGTCTTAAATGGAGGGGAAAGTTAATAAAATATAAGATAACCTGAAAGAAAATTAATACTTTATAACATACCAAGAAAAGGAAAATCTAAGAAGAACATGGAAACATTAAAGTTATGAAAAAATAGACAAGGAAGAACACCCACAAAAAATGAACTCAGCACAGGAAGACATGCAGAACAAAGAAACCAGAAGCACCACAAAAAAAACAAACATAATGACAGCAATTAATCCATACCTATCGATAATTAAATTTAATGGAAAAGGATTACAAATGCACCAGTTAAGAGACAGAGAGTGGCAGAATGATTAAGAAAACAAGATCCAAGAATCTAAAAATTAACCCATCCACATACAACCCACTGATTTTCAACAAAGGGCCTAAGAATGTTGCATGGGGAGGAGATAGTCTCCAACAGATAGTGCTGGCAGAACTAGAAAGCGATATGCAAAAGAATGAGAGAAGACCTTTACCTCACACCATATACAAAACCAACTCAGCATGGATTAAAGACCTAAATGTGAATCACAGAATTATAAAGGCCATCAATGAAAAAACAGGGGCAAATTTGAAAGCTCTAATACAGAGCATACATAGACTACCAAACATTGTGAAAACTGCACAAGCAAAAGAAGACAAAATAGATGATTGTTGTTGTTGTTAGGTGTCATCGAGTCAATTCCAACCCATAGTGACCGTGTATAGGGTTTTCAAGGAGCAGCTGGTGAGCTTGAACCACCGACCTTGCAGTTCAAACAACTTTGCAGTTTGATGCATTAGCCCACAGCATGGATTGGGACATACTAAAAATTAAAAACTTATGTGCATCAAGAGATTTTACCAAAAGAGTTTTTAACTCTTTTACAGAACAAGAAAAAATCTTTTGCAATGACACATCAGACAAGGGACTAATTTCTAAAATCTGTAGGAAACTATAATACCTCTACAAGAAAAAGACAAATAACCCAATTAAAAATGGGAACAGGACATGAACAGTCACTTCACCAAGTGAGAGATTTGGGCAGCCAACAAACATGAAGAAATGTTCACGATCACTAGCCAGAGATACAAATCCAAACAACAATGAAATATCATCTCACACCAGCAATAACAGCAAAATTCAAAAAAGTAGAGGACAATAAATGCTGGCAAGGATGTGGAGAGACAGGGACCATCATACATTGCTGGTGGGATTGCAAAATGGTCCAACCACTTTGGAAAACAGTATGGTGCTTCCTCAGAAAGTTGGAATTAGAAATACCTTATGATTCAACAATCCATCTGCTTGGTATTTATCCACAAAAAATACTAGCCATATCACGAGTAGATACATGCACACCAATGTTCATAGCAGCACTATTCACAATAGCAAAAAGAAGGAGACAGCCTAAGTGCCCATCAATGGAAGAATGGATAAACAAACTTAGGTACATACACACAATGGAATAGTATACTACCTTGAAGAATAACAAAGAAGCCGCAAGCCACCTCATTAAAAAAAAAAAAAAAAAGAAAGACAACAAGAACCTTCAATATGCTGTCTGCAAGAGTGACACCTTATACACAAACACAAAAACAGACTAAAAGTCAAAGGATGGAAAATATATACCAAGCTAATTGCAATTAAAAACAAGCAGGAGTGGCAATACTAATCTCGGATAAAATAAAGTTTAAGGCAAAAAACAGCATAATAGATAAAGATGGATATTATCTCATGATTAAAAGGACCATTGAACAAGATGACATAACCATAATAAATATCTCTGCTTCCAATGAAAGAGCTCCAAAATATGTAAGCAAACTCTAATAGATTTGAAGGAAGAAATAGACAAATCAACAATAATAGAGGGAGATTTTAATATATCACTTTCGAAAATGTATAGAACAACCAGAAAGAAACTCGACAAAGACATACAGGAACTAAACAACACAATCAGCCAACTGGACCTCATAGATGTATACAGAGTGTTCAACCCAACAACAGCACAATACACATTCTTTTCCAGAGCACATGGAACATTCTCCAAAGTAGACCATGTGGTAGGCCACAAAACAAGCGTCCATAAATTTACAAACACCAAAATACTACTAGCCAACCTTGTGGCTAGTAGTCTAATGGGTATCCTATCTTATGAGACCACAATGCTATCAAATTAGAAATCAACAATAGGAAGACCAAGGAAATAAAGTCAAATACATGGAAACTAACAATTCTCCCGATGGCTAGATGGGTAACTCAGTGTCCTGCTACAGGTTTATCTCCTTATTTCCCCCCTGAGTAAGCTGGTTAAAGGAGCTCTGGTAGCGTAGAGATTACGAATCGGGTTGTGAACCTCATGAACAGCAGTTTGAAACTACCAGCTGTTCCGCAGGAGAAAGATGAGGCTTTCTGCTCCCGTAAAGATTTACAGCCTCAGAAACCCTGTACAGGGTCGCTATGAGTCAGAACCGACTCAACGGCACATAACAACAACAACAAAAAGCTGGTTAAATATTCCCATGCTTTTTTATGACCTCTGTCTGGAGTCTCTGCATTAACCCATCCCTCATACATTCTGCCCCTTCTGACTTCAAAAACTCCACTTTTCTTTCCTCACCAGGTGAAAAGACCACATCCACAGGGTCACTACGAGAGAATCCTCTGGTTTCGCATTGGTACTTTCCAGCTTTTCCTGCTGGGATCATTACAGATTTTATCTTCAACAAATTCCCCTCATAATACCAAGCTATGTTTCCCAAAGCTGGGGAGTGGTCTTCTTTGCATGTAAGAGTCACTCTGTCTCCTGTGAAGTTCGGAGACCATGAAGGTTGGCGGAGAACCACAGCTTTTGAAACTGCTCCTAAACAGGATAGAAAGATGGAGGCAGGTGAACGTGAATAGGGATGGGTGGGTACAGAACAAAGAAGGGTCCAATCCTGAAGCTGGGAGTCTGCCTGGACTGCTTCCAAACTGAGTAAGCCAACTGGGGAAAATGTTGTTTTTGTTGTTAAATGCCATCAAGTCAGTTATGGCTCACAGTGACCCTGTACAGGACATCTGATAAGTGACTGGTGTGCTTGAACTGCCAACTTTCTGGCTAGTAGTCTAATGGGTATTCTATAGACCCACACCAGAAATTCCTGGGATAAATCTGTACATCCTCCTCCTATGCCTTGTCTGAAGGTGGTTGTCATAGAAATAGGTCTCAGATCCCTAATAAGAGCTCAGAAAAGCCCAAGAGATGTGATTTTTAGTTGGGCAAATATGCGAGGGCCTTACGAGGTGGACTAATTCTGAAATGCTCTTGTCCAGTACATTCATATCTAGATAAAGGTGAACCTGAGATGTACATACTCCAGAAGCATTTCTAGACTCCAGAATACAACTTCCTACTTGACTGTTTACATTTAATTTTTTTTTTTTTTTTTTTTTTTACTTTTATGACTTTCAAACCTTGCTTACTTGAAGATTCCTTGGGGAAGGCAACTCCTCTCTACTTTCCATTTAGGTTGCACATGATTAATAATTGAGAGATATAATTAATTTGGAGTCTTGATGTGGCGCTGTAGGATAAGCACTGAACTGCAAGGCCTGTTTGAACCACATGGTTAGCATTTCAATCACAAGCCTTTCCTTGGAGACCCTATACATGGTCACTATGTATGATTCGGAGTGAACTCAAAGGCACTTAACAACAACAACAATAATTAATTTGAATGAAGGGGCCTGTGCTGGTTATGAAATTGTCTGGTTTACAGAATTGCAACTGGCTGGTGGGCCTGGATACTGAGACATTAATTACAGTAGTAGAACTCCTTTGTAATGTGGGTAAGGATTTGACTGTAACATTTTCCTTTGAGAGTGGGAGAAATTTCTACATCCTTTGAGAGCAGCAACTACCCTGGATTTAGATAGGGCAGCGCCTCAGGGTATAAGGGAGGTTAGCTCCGAAATTTTCTAAATCTCTGTAATCTGCCTCTGCACTTTCCTCTGCAAATGTTTTATTCCTCCCTACACTGGGACATCCCAGAAATGGAAGCTGGAGATGTTGGTACATCCAATCAGTCCTTATCTCAGGGGACAAGGGATACTAGCTGAAGTGACTAAACCTAGAGACCATGAGGAACAGAAAGAAAGTGAAACTCACCAGATTGTGCATCTCTGGAAGCTGCAAGGAAATCAAGACTGGAAGATTAACACAAAGCAAAGGTTCTCAAATGTTTACAGTTAGAAACTCTGAGATACTTTCCAGCTACACAGCCACAACTACTTCTTTAGTTTTTCTTTCCTATTCTTTCACTCTCATTCCACAAGACCCATGCCCCTGCAAGCAAAATTAATTAAAACCTTTAATTAAAAAAAAAAAAACCTCTGTATGCTTTTTCCCCCCACAATGTGTATCAAAATTTGTAGTTATTTTTTAAAACCTAAGCATACAATAGCTTGTGTATATAACCCTAGCTCATCTCTTTGCTATTCCATTCTTAGTAGCTTTATACTTGATCCCAGCCCCCACCCCCAGCCTGAAAAGAGTGGGGCAGAATCAGAAAATTGCTAGAAGTAGTTTTTCTGTTTTCCTGGTCATTGTTATATATTTTTAAGCCTTTGGTTAAATTTTTATTATAATCATAAGAAGGGGGCCTCGTTTTTCAGTAGACTTCTCTCTTCATCTAAATTTTGCAGTTTACTCTCAATCTGAACAATTTAGTTTGAAGCTGGAACAGAGAGAGGGATGTAGAGTTGTGGTCTGGCAGAAAGAAAAATTTAAGTCTGCTATTAGACTAAGAAAGAAATGGGTGAGAAATAAAGGGCAACACATTTAGTTTGCCCTGGTGGATGTATCTGGAACTTTTTGGATTTTCCTGCATTGCTCATTTCCCATCTCTTGCTACCTGTCTCTGATACTCTTGAGTAGAAGCAAATAAAGCTCCTCAACTTTTGCCCTGGCACCCCTAAAATGTTGAGGCTACTGTTCCTGTCCAGCCCGTCTACTCACCCAGAATCAGCAGCAGCAGCAGCCAAAGAAACATGGAGACCAGGACTGGTTGAGAAAGCAGAGAGTCTGTCTCACCAAATACCAAGCATATTTTGCATCCAAGGAGGATGACTGGAGGCTGCTGCTCATGTAAGAGAAATATGAATTAGTAAAAGGGAAGTAGCAGAACTCAGTTTCATATCCTGACTTGGGTTCTGAAAGTGTGACCGCCTTCTGAAAAGTTGGTCATATTTCAATCTTGGCAGCAGTGAATCTTTAGCTATTGGGAGCCACCTTTTCACAGGACAGGTCTCCCAGGAGAAATGTCTTCAGCATTGTCCCTGGGTTCTCTGACAATGACAACCTATGAATTTGCTAGGATTTTAATAACTTTTTTTTTCATATTTAAAATGGACAACGCTTTCATTAACCAAACACAGACGGTCTTTAGAGCCTCATGAGGCTCCTAATATGGACTTGCTTAAGTGTGATGATCTGCTATTATTCTAGGGTGAAAATCACACAAAGTCAAGGTGTCAGAGCAGAGACAAAAGTCTTTTTAACCTTAATTATAGGTTTACATGATGCTGCTGAAAAGGAAAAAAAAAAAAAAATTTACAGATTAGCAAAAAAAGCTGTCCCTAAATCCCGTTCAGATCGACACAAGTGTTCAAATAAGAACCCCTGTTTTTAAACCAGAGCCTTCCATTGTGGCCTTCCCTGATCTTGCATTCAGAGTCCCCACATCATTGTCTCCTAGTTTTGACCTCTGTATGGTTTTTTCCCCCACAACATTTATTAAAATTTGTAGTTATTTTCTTTATTTCTTTGCTTGCTTCCCCCCCCCCCCCGATTTCTAACCCCTCTACTAACATAGAAGGATCCATGTTTGCCTTATTCACTGTTATATCTCCTATTCCTCTCCCTATTCTTTTGTCAGGTGGTGGCGGTTGGTATGTGCTGTGGAGTCAGTTCCGACTTATAGCCACTCTGTATAGGGTTTCTAAGGCTCTAAAGCTTTACAGGAGCAGAAAGTCTCATGTTTCTCCTGTGGAACGGCTGGTAGTTTTGAACTGCTGATCTTGAGGTTATCAGCCCAACTTGTTAATAACCACTACGCTACCAGAGCTCCTTTTTCTCAAGGTTGTTGTTGTTGTGAAGTGCCATCGAGTTGGTTCTGACCCATAGCGACCCTGAATAGGGTTTCCAAGGAGCAGCTGGTGAGCTTGAACTGCCGACCTTGCAGTTCAAACAGATTTGCAGTCCAGCACATTAACCCACAGCGCCATACCAGGACCCCAATAAATATTTTTGAGGGAACATTGGATGGACGATGGACTGTGAGGAACTTTGGACCAGTGTTTCTCAACATTTTTTTCATTATCGTCCTCTAAAGAGCTTCTTCTCTTTTTTTTTTTTTTAGGATCCAGGACTGAGCTGTAAGATAAGCACCAGACTGCTAATTGCTGGGTTGGCTTTTCAAACCCACCAGCAACTCTGCAGGGAGAAAAATGAGGCTTTCTGTTCACATAAATATTTTCAGCTTTGGAAACCCAATACAGGGTTTCTATGAGTCAGAATCAATTCGATGGCAGTGGAAGGAACTTTCAAGACATTTTTTTCTAGTCATCTCCCTTCTTTATTAAATTTAAATACCACACATATAATGTATACCTCTGTGTGTGCTTCATGTATGTCTATGCTCTATACATAAAAAGAACATAAAAAGAGGTGAAAGTTTTTTCACCTCCCTAAGAGTCATTTTTTGCTTCTTTCAGTGTGATATCACCTGTGTTTGAAGAGACAGCCTTTTCTCAGCAATCTCAGAATAGGAAGCCATAATCATTGAAAGACACCTTTGAAATGAAAGCCTCATTACTGCTACCATTTGTTTCTGGTGGTGGAAAGAGATGCTCTTTGGGTTGTATTGTCCATCTGGTATTGTCTATTGACTTTTCACCCTTGAACTCTCCTCTATAAGGCAGAAACTAGGTCATGTACAGTTTACATTCCCAGAATTTGGCACAGTGTTATCTAGCATAAGATTACCGTATAAAATGCAAGGTTAAATTTGGATTTCAGGTAAACAACCAGTATATTCTTTGAAATATTTGGGATACACTTAGACTACAAAGTATCCATTGTGTATATGAAATTCAACTTTAACTGGACAAACTTTAACTGAACTCTGTTCCTCTTTCTACTCCAACTTAATTCATTCCACCCAGTGAGGTGAAGTGACTTACCTGATTGGTCAATTTAGGCAGAATAAATTAAGCATGGTTAACTCAGTTCCAAGGAGCCCTGATGGTAATGTGGGTTAACTGTTGGGCTATTAACCACAAGGTGAGCAGTTCAAACTCACTAGCCTCCCCCTGGGAGAAGGATGAGTCTACCTGCTCTCATAAAGATTAATGGTCTCGGAAACCCTAAAGAGCAATCCGACTCAATGGCACTTAACAACAACAACAATGTTGTTATATGAATTGGAATAAACTAGGTAGTGGCTTTTTGGTTTTTTTTTGATAACTCAGTTCTAGACTTTACCACTTGAATACAAGCCTACTGCTAGAGGGGTCAATGAAAGGGCACTGACCTTCCCTTGCACTTGGGAGGGAAGGGAGGAGGAAGAGGGGGCAAGGGTATGCTTACAGTTTTTAAAGCAAATTCTTAGAGATGCAAAGAGTTGTTACATGAATTTGGAATGAAGAGAAATATAAACAAGAAACAAATATACAACAAGCCATATATTCACAAGGAAAAACTTTTGATAAAATCAGGACCTGTAGCTTTCAATGTGGAGGGCATTTTGACTATGAACTTAGAGGTTCATGTTGTTTTTTGTGCTGCCAAGTTGGTTCCAACTCATAGTAATCCTGTATAGG